GGAGCATAAATGTTATGATGGTATGGATATAATCATCATGTTAGTGGGAGCATGATTATTATTGCAAGTTAGCAATATTAATTATAGAAAACAAAAGTTTCACTTTGCAAAGTTGCATAGGTTGAAAAGTTGTTTTGCTATAATTAAGGGAGAGAATATTATACTTTGTTTCAAATCTCGTAAAGATCGATAAATTTTGATCAAATTTAGTCAAAAAGATATATGAATGTTATGTTGAAAGGATTCAACGTAAGAGAATTCTATATATGGAAATAATTGTTGTGTTCTCACACTCGATTATGATTACGACATCCCTCTTCATAGTTCGAATCGTGAGAACATGGCAAATAGAAATAGAAATATTATAGCAAAAGACTGGTAAGTATCATGTCGTTGTAATATTCGACTGTTCTAAAATTTTCCAAATGCTAGGGCATTAAGAGGGAAAGAGGACTAGAATCGGATTTGACGGAATTAGTTAAAGAACTGTCAAGGATAATCTAAGGTTCGCCAAAGATTAGTCATTTGTGGACAGTTAGAAGTATAGTCATGGATGGACCATATTGACATTATTATGAATAGATAAGATTCTATTTAAAATGTGTTGTAATATGGAAAATATGGAAATGTTTCCATATTGGGAGTTGGACGTTAAGAATTTATGTCTAGATTAGAAACTTTTATGCAAGAAGGATGTTCAAAGGAATGTACTTTGAATGTGAGACTTCACATCTATGGAATTGTCTTGTAACAATCTCAAATAGAGCATTTTCTAATTTCATTGGCCGAGTCTTGGTGACTTTTGTGCCGTGACATTACGAAAGGATCGTTGCATAAAGTGTTAGAATCTAACATATTCTATAAGTGGCAAGAATTTTGTATTCTTACACTTGTGGTAAGGATTGGGAATTGTAAAATGAGTGTGATTGAAAATGTTATTTGATGTGACATCGACCTCCAGCGACTGTTCTGGTCTTCTGCTGCGGCGAAGATCTGGTTATCACAGTGCAAAGTCGTTAGAGCCGACCCAGAGACTATGCCCCGGGAGCGGGCTCCGACGGTCAAGTTAGATCAGCTAGAAGATCTGAGATGGTCCTCCATAGCTGGAGAGAACCATCTTGGTGCTAGTGGTGGTGTATGGTGGCTGACGGCGGCGGGTGGCGGCTGAGCCACCTGGCCGGAGTATAGGGCGGCGGCTGTGCCAAGGGGAAGATCCATGGTGGCTGCTAAGCCACTTGGGAAAGAGTCCTTCTTCATGGAGGAGGCATTATTCTATTTATAGTGGACAATTAGGTCAAGGGGAATTGGGTTAGGCCTTGGACCAAGCCCAATTCAGGCCCAACTAGTAAGGACCTGGGCAAGGCCGCCCGGAGGCGCCGGGAGAGGCTGGCAGGCGCGCCCCAGGCAGGGCTGGCGGGCGCGCACCAGGAAAGGATGGCAGGGGAGCGCCAGGCGAGGGAGCGCCTGGCCGGGCCGGCAGGAGAGTCCCCAGCAGGGCTGGCAAGGGAGTCCCCAGCAAGGCTGGCAGGAGAACGCCAGGCAAGGCTGGCAGGAGCGCGCCAGGTTAGGCTGGCAGGAGCGCGCCACGCTAGGCTGGCACGCTAGAGCAGTCTAGGCCATGCCAATGGACCATGTATCATCAAGTCCCCCCAGTCTGGTGTTATTGGTACGCGGCCAATGACATCGGACTGGAACTAGTCATATAAACCAACAGGAGAGTCCCCAACGAGGCTGGCAAGGGAGTCCCCAGCAAGGTTGGCGGGAGAACGCCAGGCAAGGCTGGCAGGAGCGTGCCAGGCTAGGCTGGCACGCTAGAGCAGTCTAGGCCATGCCAATGGACCATGTATCATCAAGTCCCCCCAGTCTGGTGTTATTGGTACGCGGCCAATGACATCGGACTGGAACTAGTCATATAAACTGTGCGTCGTCAAGTCCCCCTAGTCTGATGCGATTGGGTTGCTGACAATCGGATCGGACTAGATAAAGCACCAATACAATAAATAATAAAGAGAATGACCGAACCTCGCCCACGAGAGCCGTGGGGTTATGCGATGAGCCAAACGTTGCTTATGCAGCTTGAGCTGACTTGATACTCCTTCATTGAGAGGAGTGCGAGCTGATCGGTGTGATGCAACGTAACTGTTGCTGCGATCATGCGGACCGAGACTGCTAAAGAGTGTTACGCGAAACTGATGTCGATGGAGTGTCTGGTCGGGGTAGCTAAGAAGCGTAACCTCGCCATACAGTCCCTGAGATTGTTATTCGACGTGATTGTTGTGGTATCCATGCGCAGATGGGATGTCACCAGTAACCATCTACATAGTCTGCATTAATAACCGTCTTGAGGGTCTTTCTTGCTCGGGCTACCCCTAGTTGGATTCCCCCCAGTCTGATGTGGGTAGCGTAGGTAGCCATGTCAGACTATGTTGTCAAACCAGTAAACCGTAAGTTTGTTGACCATAATATAAGTGGAAGAGATTCCAAGAGCTGTGCGACTAGGTTGCTAGCGAGGGTCACATAGCGAGACTATTGTCGATAGCCAGACAACAGAATTGTTGAGGGATAGGCAGTGAGGCTATAGGTTGGGGTTGCATAGCAAGACCGTTTCCGAGAGCCAGGAAACAGAGGTGCTGTGGGGTACGCGGCGAGGCTACAGGTAGGGTTGCACAGCGAGACCATTTCCGAGAGCCAGGAAACAGAGGTGTTGTGGGGTACGCGGCGAGGCTACAGGTAGGGTTGCACAGCGAGACCATTTCCGAGAGCCAGGAAACAGAGATGTTGTGGGGTCGTAGGTAGCAGGGCCACTGTCGGGATGACCTTCTTGATGGAGAGTATCCTCACTATAGCATGGTTTAATGTAGATAACACTTCATCGATCGTCCGAGCACAAGAGAACCATGATGACTGTGAGAGAGGAAGCACCAAGATCATGATGTGGAATAAGCTTGTGATGCGCGGCTTATGTTGCGCGACTTAGGAGAGTAGCTTGGTCTTAGCAGCCAATGATCATGGAGATGTCATGCGGGAAAACATCACGTGTAACAGATCGGGTTTGGCTGCTAACGATCGTAGATAGATCACGCGAGAGAGCATCGGGTGGAATGGATCGGGCTTGGCTGCCAGCGATCGCAGATAAATCACGCGAGAGAGCATCGCGTGGAATGGTCGGAGCATGTTGCTATAATGGAGTCGGGCTGAGAAGTCAGGCGACTCGAGGCGAGGGCACTGAACCTCTCATGCGGAGCTTGGCACTATAATGGAGTCAGGCTGAGAAGCCAGGCGACTCGAGGCGAGGGTACTGAACCTCGCATGCGGAGCTTGGCGCTATAATGGAGTCGGGCTGAGAAGCCAAGTGACTCGAGGCGAGGGTACTGAACCTCGCATGCGGAGCGTGCCGCTATAATGGAGTCGGGCTGAGAAGCCAGGCGACTCAAGGCAAGGGTGCTGAACCTTGCATGCGGAGCGTGCCGCTATAATGAAGTCGGGCTGAGAAGCCAGGCGACTCAAGGCAAGGGTGCTGAACCTTGCATGCGGAGCATGCCGCTATAATGGAGTCGGGCTGAGAAGCCAGGCGACTCGAGGCGAAGGTACTGAACCTCGCACGATTGGGCGTAGCGCCGTACAATCTATGTGTCTAGCTCGTGTGATCAGTCTGGGTTAAAGCGGAATGGTACCTGATGCTTTGCTGCATCATTAGTTGTAGTAACGATTGACGCCTCATCTTCTAACGGCTTTGTCGAAAGCCATGCAGCAAGGCTACTGGGAGCTGGACAGTTGAGCTGTTGTCAGGAGGTGTGTAGCGAGACTGCCGTCGAGGGCTGGTCGACAGGGCCGTTGAGGTCCGAGCAGCGAGCTGCTAGTGATAGGTGGGTAACACGACTATTGAGAGTTGGGCAACAAGACTACCGAGAGTTGGACCACGAGGCTACTCTTTCAATCCGGAATACCAATGCCACCTCGGGGATGCACCATCATGCATAGTGTCAGTTCTACATGTACTTTAACTCTTCCCCTTCAAAATAAAAATCACTTTTGCGTAGTGTTGTATCAACTCTTCCCCTCCCCCCACTTCTTAGAGGAGTCGAAGAAAGGGAAAGATGGATCTGTAGCCGCTGAAAGCTGAGATACATGGCTGCTGGAAAGAGCTAGGCGACCCAAGTACTAACAAAAATTGGTTAGCGCGGCTGCCGAAAGCTAAGTGGCGTGACTGCTGATGACTAGGCTTTGCGGCTGCTGAGTTGGGTTGCATCGCTGCTGAGGGGCGGGCTGCACGACTGCTGAGATCCAAGGAGTATGACTGCTGATAGCCGAACAACATAGTTGTTGAGGATTATTCTGAAATACACCATGAGTAGTAGTGATGCACTACTCTTCTCCCTCCTTTTTTTTTTGAAACGTTGTGTGGTATGAGACGCAACTTGTCTCTTTAAAAACATAATTCTCTTTTATCGGAATTGTCGCCTTGGTTCGTTGAGCGTTTGAAAAAAAATCTTATAAAAGTGATCCACGTTAATTCTTAAAGTGGCCCAATGTAATGACAAGCCTGAAAGAAACTTGTTGAGTTGTTCGGGCCCATTCTCGTGATCTAAGGAGTCCATTGTAAGAGGAATGATAGTCCAACTGAAATAATAAGAAAGCCCAAGTTTCGTTCGTTTTTTTTTTTTTTTGAGGTCATCGAGTCGATCCGGGCTGTTATGTATCTTATAAAGTAAGATTTTGTTGGACGAGATCTCAACAAACGGGTACTGCGGTTGACCATTAAGATTTGTCTTGTGAGAAATATCCATTTTAATTGTTGAGCTAGCTCAAGAAACTGATTTGAGTGAGAAACCTAATAGAATTGCTGAGCCCAAAATAAAATCTCGATCCATTCATTCATTTGTGGGCCCACTTAAAAAATGACCAGCCCAATATAAATCTGTTGGAGCCGTTTGTGGAATATGGGCCAGTGCCCTGATTTTCTTTTTGTTGTGTACGTGAAACGAATTGAGAAAAAGACGCTAATATGCGCTTCTTGATGAACTCGAAGGTGAAAGGTCGTATCTGGAAGAAGGTGGGTAACGAATGGTCCCGATGTCGGAGTTCGTGACCTGAGGAGGAGATATGAAGCTCGATTTAGTTGGCGACACCGACTGTAAGGGAGACCGGAGCAGAGGTGGTCGACTGGCGGCAACGAATCGAGGAAGCAAGAGGCCCCGATCCCTGTGGTGGTCCGATGGCGCTACTGTGTTGCAATTGGAGATGGTACCGACGACCCTTCTCCTCCCTGATGAGGTGATAGTCGCCCGGTGATGCGCTGGCTTTGGCTCCTGTCGACGATCGAGCATCAGAGGATGCGATTGCTGTCAACTGTAATCGACGACCAGCTACGCTGGTTGTCGTCCTGCGATGAGACTGTTTCGATGTTGAAGTCGACGACGGGAGGAAGTCGGGATGTCAGGACAGCTAGGACGCAGTGATGGACCTGGTGGGTCCCAATCTTGATCTTTGTCTTTTCAGTTGACTTTTGATAGCTTTGTATTTGTACTGTGGGACCCATAGAAAATGTAATAGCACAGGAAAAAAGGAGTGAAGGTGTATGTAATAGGTGTAGGCGGTATAGCTGGTTACTACCCCTACCCCCCTTTTTTTTCTTTTTCGTTGGCCAAGATACGCAAACAGCAATATGCACAGCTTTGAAAATAGAGTTACCATTCTTGAACTCTGTGTACGCTCCTTTTTCCTTCTTTTGACGGTTATTTTCTCGTATCATTTATCTCTACACCTCTCTTTTTTTTCGATTTCTTTTTTGTTATGACTAACCAGTAAATTTTGGAAATAATAGGGTAAAACCTTGAGATAAAAAATATGGTTTAACTGGTTTTGAAACATATAAAAATCACAACAACATAACCTAAACTTGTAATATAAATCATAAACTAAAAAATGTTTTCTAGAAATATGTAAAGTACTTCTCCTCCCTTCTCTTTTTTTTTGTTTACAGCTTGTTCAACAAACTATCAAAATTTGAACAACAAACAGATCTGAGAAATTTTTGTTTCTTTTCCTAAGCTTTTGAAGATAAACACCAAAAATATGAACAACAGGAAAGAATTCAATTTTTTTTTTGAAATGAACAAACATCCCAGATTTGTTTACAAGTAGATGTTGCAGGGAATAAAGTTATTCACATAAAGTCTTAAAATCTTAACTAAAAAACAATTTTCTAGTAATATGAACTTGATAAAAGGATAAACTTATAAAAATTTCTTTTCTCCCCAACTTGCTAAATGGGTCACTGAAAAGAAAGATGAAACTGATCTGAAATGTCCTTGTAAACTTGAAAAATGCTTGAATGAACAAAAACTAAGGTAGATCCAAAGATCTAGTCTTAAAATGAAACATATCCATAGATCTGAACAAAAACACTAAGCAAATCAGGAGGTCTGAATGATAGAACACATCAGATCAAGAGATCTGAGAAGTGGATAATAAGATTTGGACAGATCTTGGTCAAAGCCAAAACGAATCTGAACTAAATGGTGCTAGAAATGAACAGATCTGAGGAAAACCTTAGCTGAAACGACAGATCTGAGCAGATCTAGGCAAGAACGAGATGATTTCTGCTCGTTCGAGTCCGGGATGGCGCCAAATGATGCGACATCGACCTCCAGCGACTGTTCTGGTCTTCTGCTGCGGCGGAGATCTGGATATCACAGTGCAAAGTCGTTAGAGCCGACCCAGGGACTGTGCCCCGGGAGCGGGCTCCAACGGTCAAGTGAGATCAGCTAGAAGATCTGAGATGGTCCTCCATAGCTGGAGAGAACCATCTTGGTGCTAGTGGTGGTGTATGGTGGCTGACGGCGGCGGGTGGCGGCTGAGCCACTCGGCCGGAGTATAGGGCGGCGGCTGAGCCAAGGGGAAGATCCATGGTGGCTGCTAAGCTACTTGGTAAAGAGTCCTCCTTCATGGAGGAGGCACTATTCTATATATAGTGGACAATTAGGTCAAGGGGAATTGGGTTAGGCCTTGGGCCAAGCCCAATTCAGGCCCAACTAGCAAGGAGCTGGGCAAGGCCGCCCGGAGGCGCCGGGCGGGGCTGGCGGGCGCGCATCAGGAAAGGATGGCAGGGGAGCGCCAGGCGAGGGAGCGCCTGGCCGGGCCGGCAGGAGAGTCCCCAGCAGGGCTGGCAAGGGAGTCCCCAGCAAGGCTGGCAGGAGAACGCCAGGCAAGGCTGGCAGGAGCGCGCCAGGCTAGGCTGGCACGCTAGAGCAGTCTAGGCCATGCCAATGAACCATGTATCATCATTATTCAATTATACTATTTCACAGAGTAAGGACCATAAGTAAACATAGTGTGCATGCTAAGAGCATGAGACAATTGTTGTTATAATTCAAGTAAAAGTTGATTTCCCGAACATTATACAATGAATAATGTGTAATCAATATGGTGATTAAATAAAAGGAGTTTTATTTATACTCAAAAGGTTGGGACCATATTGGATTCGATTATTATTGTGTTTCACTTTGCATGTTTTGACTTCCTAAATAATTGAGTTATTTGAGAATAATCGAATTATCTGAACATTCCACAGTCGCTCGTACTCTGGGAGTAGGTATGAAAGAAGATTGTCATGAATTGGTGTGTAGATTGTATAAAGTGTATTGGACATAGCAAAAGTTTGCTACAACGTTCATGAGTGCTTATGAATATGATTTGAGCATTGGATTAAACCCATGCTCACTTGGATCACTTCATGGATTTTATCACGAGTGATTGGTGAGACGATAATATATTATATTCTTGAAACCGAGATGTGTAAGTTGTATCTTGCGAGTCGGTTGCACATTGATAATATGTAAACGCACCATTAACTTGGTGTTATAAAACGTATTGTTGTGTGTGATTCGGTGAGTAAGTACAAGTGAGCATTGAGTCGAAGTTTATCCATTCCTTTTACCCAAAGTGGGATAAAAGCGATATCTGTGGGCCCCTCGATGATTTAGTGATGACAAAGGAAAGTGCTCGGTCGGGGCAGGACTGATTTGATTTGTTCAATTAGTCAGTCGTCAAAAATCAGAAATCGGGAAACAACACATAGACTGAGAGAATGATTTCAATCCATGTATCGTGTCTATACGATATCTAGAATGGAGGAATATATGATCCCTTATCTAAAGGACGCGTATCTGATAAGATCAGAGTTGACAGCGGCTTTTGAAAGCTACGATTGCTGATCAGGATCTGAAGTCATACGCAAAATAGTTATTAGACTTATCCAAGTGGGAGACTGTTGGATTAGTGTCTAAGCCCATAACTATTTTGGTATGTACTTGACCCGATTGCGAGCATGGTCCTTTTGGGTTGCCTTCACCAAAGCAACTTGATAGGATGATTTGTGGAGAAAGAGATTAATTATGATTTATTAATATATTATATGAATAATATATTAAAAAAGAAATCATGTTGTTTAATTAATATTAGTCAAAAATTAATCCGAATTAATTTTGTGGCTAAAAGACATTAATTAAATAAAGGGGACTAGAACTGTCAATTGTGTGATAGTTGAATATTGGGCTAATGGACTCCATAGAGGATGGAGTGGACGAAATCTATGGGGAACCCCATTAGAATTCGTCCAACGCCTCTAAAGGAGGAGTCCATGGGTTGCTTATGGCCTAAGCAGTCAGATTAGGGTTTCCTAGTTCAAAACCCTAATAGCCTCACATATATAATGACCCCTAGAGCACCAAAAACGTGTGGAACTGATTCCTTAGGGTTTCTAGACGTTATTGGTGTCTTATCTCTTCTCCTTCTTCATCCTTATTGCTTATGGTGTTTGTGACTCCATTAGAGGTGTGACACTTGTGACACTAAGCTTTCAGAATCCAATTACAAGAAGGAATTGAGATTGTTATTGCTACATAACAATCAAGGTAAGATCTAAACCCTAATTCATATGTTATTTGATTATCACATGCTAGATCTAGGGTTTATGGCTTTGGATGATTATTGCATGTTCATTAGACAAACTAGATCCAAAGCTTTAGGGTTTGCATGTACACCATAGGAATGTTGTAGTGCTCAAAACCCATCATAAATTAGCTCCCACTCTCTCTCTAAGCTCTCTGGATCGATTAGGGTCTCTCAAGGGAAAGTGTGGCCGCAAATGAAGGCCATAAGAGCCTTTAAATAGGCCACAAACCCGAGAAATTAGGGTTTTCCTCAGCAGCGCTGACTCGGCGAGTCAGATACCCGACTCGTCGAGTCCATTCATTAAAGACGTCACCAAGTCGCGATCCCACTCGACGAGTTGAGGCACCACCTCGACGAGTCCACCAAAAATTCTTAAAATAAATGCTTAAATTAATATACCTGGAAACCGGATGTTACAATTCTCCCCCACTAGAATTAGACTTCGCCCTCGAAGTCTTGGTCCGCAAATAGCTCGGGATACTGCTCTCACATCTCTGACTCCGGCTCCCAAGTCAGATCGGGCCCCTTTCGATGTTGCCACTGGACCTGAACCAGGGGCACTTCCTTGTTCCTCAAAACCTTCACCTTCTGATCTATGATCGCGATCGGCCTCTCGATGTAATTCAGGCTCGCATCCACCTGAATGTCCTCTAGTGGTACCAGTGTCGTCTCGTCGGCCACACACTTCCGCAACTGGGACACGTGGAAGATGTTGTGAATCTGACTCAACTCTCCAGGCAGCTCCAAACGGTAAGCTACCTTCCCCACTCTGGCGGTCACTCTGAAAGGACCGACGTATCGGGGTCCCAGCTTTCCCCGTTTTCTGAACCGGATCACCCCTTTCCATGGGGAAACTTTCAGGAGTACAAAATCTCCGACCTGAAACTCGAGCTCGGATCGTCGCCTATCCGCATAACTCTTCTGGCGACTCTGGACTGTCAGTAACCTTTGTTTGACCTGCTGAATCTGCTCAGTCGTCTTCAACACTATCTTAGTACTGCCCATAACTCTCTGCCCCACCTCTCCCCAACAGATGGGGGTACGACACCTTCTCCCATACAGGAGCTCAAAGGGAGGCATACCAATGTTCGAGTGATGGTTGTTGTTGTAAGAAAACTCAGCCAAGGGTAGTTATGTGTCCCAACTCCCACCGAAGTCCATAACACATGCTCGAAGCATGTCCTCGAGCATCTGAATCGTTCGCTCGCTCTGTTCGTCTGTCTGTGGGTGGTAGGCGGTACAAAAATGCAATCGCGTTCCCAACTCTTCAGGGAACTTCTTCCATAATCTGGAAGTAAAACGCACATCCCGATCTGACACTATGGACGTCGGCACTCCATGCTGAGCTACCACCTCTCGCACATAAATCTTG